TGGTCATTTTCTCCAGTTGTTGTTCTACCCTGGGGAATATTCATCAAAGAAAACCAAAACAACACACATTTCCAATTATAGGTCTCCCAATTGATAAATGATCATTCTGAACACTGTATTTGATTACTTAGGGTTAAGTCAAGGTTAGGATTAGGGGTTAGGGTTAGGCTTGGGCTTAGGGTTAGGCTTTAGTTAGGACTAAGGGTAGTGTTGGGGCTAGGGTTAGGCCCTGGCTTAGGGTAAGGCTATAGTTGGGGTTAGGGGTAGTGTTGGGGTAAGGGTTAGGTTCTAGCTTAGGGTTAGGCTATAGTTAGGGTTAGGGGTAGTGTTGAGGTTAGAGTTAGGGGTTAGGGTTAGGCTCTGGCTTAGGGTTAGGCTATAGTTAGGGTTAGGGGTAATGTTGGGGTAAGGGGTTAGGGTTAGGGGTTAGGGTTAGACTCTGGCTTAGGGTTAGGCTGTAGTTAGGGTTAGGAATAATGTTGGGGTTAGGGTTAGGGGTTAGGGTTAGGCTCTGGCTTAGGGTTAGGCTATAGTTAGGGGGAGTGTTGGGGTTCAGGTTAAGGGTTAGAGTTAGGCTCTGGCTTAGGGTTAGGCTATAGTTAGGGTTAGAGATATTGTTGGGGTTAGGGTTAGGTCATGGCCAATGATTTAGCCTTCTAGAGCAAAATTTGTGAAAATTCCAATAAAAAGTCATGGAAACAGTGGAGAAATATGACCAAAGTAACAAAAAGTTGACTCCTGGTTGGAGCCTATGACGGATGTGTTGGGAGATGTCTAGTTTGAGCTGGGGAGGTATTACAGAGCTGATTGAGCTATAACTGGATAGCACATTTTGCCTAGAATCAATTTTTGTGATTTAGAAAAATAATCAATAAATTTCTCTAATTTATTCACATATTTGTATAACACGGGGTAAATTTTTGCGAAAAAATGCTTATTCAGCACTTTTTGGGGAAAAGCATGGACCATAGTGACATGAAACTTTGTCAAACGCATTGAGAGAGATGAAATTAATGAAAGTCCCAATAAAAACTGGAAATAGTTGAGAAATATGACCAAATTAAAAAAAAGTGGTACTCCAGAATGGGCGATAATAGGGTTAACCCAACTAATTGTTATAACATGCGTATTCCCATACAAACGATCTGTCTTCAAGAGAAAACTAAGATTTGTGGACATGTTTTGCTATCATTGCATCATACCCCAGTATGTCCTCTGTCAGTCAAAAAAGTTTGAATCAAAACTCCCCACGAAAATCAAAAGATCTCACCTGTTGAAGACGCCATCTATAGAAAATGTCAAAAAATGTCATTCTGATTTTGACAGATGGAGGCAGGTCAAAAAGGTCACATTTTTTAAAGAAAATGCACCTTAATCACATCAAATCATGTCTCAGAGTTGGTCCACACATACACTTTTTCATTCATGTACTTACCAAAATCCAACCACTGGTGATGCTAATGTAATTACAATAATTGGACTATATTTTTGTTTTTATAATGCCATCTAATGGTTGTGTGTCTCCAAAGTGGATTCAGACTGCAACAACTTTATGCAAATTAGCTAGTGACGTATCTATGTTAGTAGGTCACGTATATAGGTTAGAAGGTTTGTTTTGTCAAGGCTGCGCATGTATTGTTTATAAAGCCAGGTCACGTATATAGGTTAGAAGGTTTGCTCTGTCGAGTCCGCGCGTGTAGTGTATATAAAGCCAGATCCCATTCAGATCAACGTCATTATTCCGACTAAAAGGCTCGCGATTAGCAAACGTTGCGGGCAGGAGCATGTCTGGCCGTTTTTTGTTTTACCTTATTTCAGAAACTATATGGCCAATAAACTTTCTGATTTAATCAGATTCAGTATAAATGAATGATATGGGAAAGTAAAAGTTGATACATGTAATGACAATAAGCTGATGACATTAATGGACATGGAAAAACTTACACGGGATTTGATTCTCTTTCTAGATCGCTCATCTCGTGTTTCAGTTTCAGAATTGTTGAATGTAGACGAAACAGTCAGAGTGCCTCTATAAACGGGCTTATACAGGATTGGGACAGCGTCTGCTTTTAGAGTCTTGCTCCAAGTTTTTGATTTTTGGAATTTTGTACCAAATACACTGACAAATTGTTCATTATTTGAATAGTCATCCTGACGAAAATGGTCACTGCAAATTGTTTTGTATTTATTGAAAATGAAATTGTTTACATTCCACGGTATACCATTTTGATCTACTGTTCCAATATTATGAAGCCATCTGGCCGCTAATTCCCGATTTTTACTTCCATCCGGAATCCTGTGGAATTTTATATTATTTTCTTTTGATGGTCTATTGTTACAACCGAAATATAAACATGTAGGCATTCTCTTCAAAAATGGCGCCAGAAATCTTTTGGAATGCTATGGCATCAATGACGTCATAACAATGTCGTAAAGAACCACTTTACGGTTAAAATGGCAGCTCCATGGTCCAGTTCACATGCAAAAACCCGGGGCTCAATAACAACCAATGGGTTAATGATAGAACAACAAAACTAAGTTGGATTGAAAGATGTATCTTTATTCTAACTTATTATCAAGTTTAAGGGACAAAACTTCGCATTTCCCTTTAAAGGGCATTTTTTCTTCGTGGCTATTTCAGCAGACTTTAATTTCAGGATTACAAGTACTACTACTGAGCTCTTTGTATGGATTTGGTTATCATTTTTCATTGCATATCAAAGAGGTTATACTTTGTAAAACTAACTACTTTTCAATTTGCTTCCTGAAGTACCTGCTGCTTATAGTCCATTTTCAGAAAAGCTATAACAAAAATCATTCTAAGGTTGAATCACCAAGGATTTTGAAGGTTACAAAATTCCCCTGAAGTAGTGGTCATGTTAGTACCCTGTACCCTACCATCTGCCGGAAAGTATTCACACAGTGGCGTACACTGAGCTACAAGGCCTAAGTGTGACAGCTCCATCAAAGGAATGCATCCTGGGGGGGGGGGTGTGATGTGACTCCCTCAATACTTGACATAAGTTGTAAAATTGACACTCTATCTGTAATTTGAATATAAAATGGTAATTAAGGTGTATTTAGCTTATGTCCAAATATCAACAAAATTTTGTTTTCAGCTTTTTCACATGTTAGAAATCAAATGAAACCAAGAACACTCCTCCATATAATTTTTGTAAATATTAATATGTATACTAGTCAACATATGTCAAAATAGCATAATTAAAGCATTACTATGTATTTATATGAATCATTGACAGTGTATGGTAAATTATAAAATTGGATTTTAAAATACAGGATCGAGATCACACGATTTTGACCCCTGTGAATGATAGTCAAAATACATGTAACATCTCCACATACTTACATGTTCAGTTCAATGGAATACTATGAACAAGTCATGTACATTTTTACTCAATAAGATTGAAACAACAATGTTTGTTTCTTTTTTCGTTATTGTAAAACTTTTTATAATTGTCGTTCCCAGTAGCTGCCCCAAAAGCTGAATAGCTGCTAATTCTGATCCAATTCTGAATCTGTTGTCTCTTGAATGTTGCCTATATCTTCCACTCATCAAATAAAGGTCAAAACTATGCACACATTCTGTCATACGGCCTCAGTTCTAATAGGTATGTTGCTAAACTGGGATATTCTGAACAAAATAGATTGATGACGTCACAATTTATGCAAATAAGCTAATTTGCATAATTGAACATTGTAATCGTACAGGAAATTAAATAAGGTCTAATTCGATACCAATATCATTTCTATAGACCAAATAATGACAAAGCTACAAACATTTTAAACTTCCATAGTAAGATGTCTGAATATAATTGTCAAATAATGACATTCACAGTAGCTGCCTCGAAAGTTTAATAGCTTTGGTAATACTGATCCAATTTTGAATCTGTTTTCACTTTTATGTTGCTTATACCTTCTTCTTATAGTCTAAAGAACCAAACTTCGCAGAAATTCTGACATATGGCCTCAATTCTAATAGATATGTTGCTATACTTGAAAATTCTGAATCAAAAATTGATTGATGACGTCACAATTTATGCAAATGAGCTAATTTGCATAATTGAATATCATTAGTTTATGGGAAATTTAATTAGGTTTAATTTGATACCAATATCATCTCTATAGACCAAATAATGACAAAGTTACAAATGATCTAAGATTCCAAGGTAAGATGTTTATAGATGCGTAACCATGGTAACGGAATGCTACAATACAGAGCAACCAATGAGAGTTTGCAAGGGCATCCGGCAGCAAATTGAAATTCAAAGTGTTACCTTTCAAAAAAGTATGGATGCCATAAATTAACAGAGACGAACACGTTGGGTAAATTTTTTGAAACGATAGAGAGGCATGGGTTTCTGACTAGTATAACACATCTTACATTTTTGCAACCTTTTGTGGATGGTGTTTTGTCAGATTAATATCTAAGAATATTTCTTTTTCTTCATGTAAATTGGCATAGCCAGAATCAACATTTTAGTGAGGCAAATGTGAATAGGTGAGGCAAATTTATGATTGAAAGAAGAAATTTTTCTACTTTTGGATTTCATTTCCATAGTTTTAGGGTAAAGGGGTGTAATGTCGACATAAGAGACTTGGCAACTTCGACACTTACTTATTATTAGAAGTAGAATTTGCGTTTTCCGCCTTCTTTGATTTCTGGAAAAAATTTAAATCTAACGAGATCTCGATCCATGTGAGAAAAAAAACATGGCTCCCCCTAGATCGGAAATTAGAGCAAATAAACAACAAGGTGTCAAAGTTACCCAACATGTCGAAGTTATCCCAAAATGGTGTCGACGTTACACCCATTCGCCCTATTTGAAAGGACTTCAATTAATATATTCATTTAAGATTTTGATCAGTTTCCTCGCCTGCCTCATGCTTAGCTACTGGTATCCAAGAGGCTAAATATGAATCTCTTAACACTTACATACAAATACAGTACATATGTATAGTTACTTCACTGATATTTCCAGTTCCTGAGAATACCCAATCAGAGAAATGCACAACTGATAAAGTCACATGTAAGAAACGCAGAAGACGCAGACAAACCAGTGAATGTAGCGTTGATGACCAAGAGGCTACTCCTGAGAAGAAAACCTGCACAAAATCTAATGATATCACAACAGAAACTGATGAGATCACTACAAAAAATGATGATGTCACACAAACACAGAAAATTGCCAAAATTGAAGAAACTGAACAATTAAAAGACAATGAACCTCCTAGGAAAAGGAAACGTAAAAGGACAAGGAGTGTCAACATTCCTGTTTGCCCCGAGCCTATACAAACTGACTCCTCAGAACCCACAACACCTAAACGTAAATCCTCAAAGGAAGATGAAGAACGACTTACTCCAATAATATCAACCTCCACAAGTGCAACACCAAAACGGAAAAGAAAACCAGAAAACACTGAACTAACTAGTGCTACTCCAAGTGACTCTAAAAAGGTGAGGATAGTAGAACCTCACGAAACTGAGCCAGCTTCTAAATCTGAGAAGGAGAACATGGAAGGAGTCACCTCTGAAAAGACAAACACTGAAGTTGTTAAATCTAAAAGAAAGCGAAAGAAGAAAAAGCAGAATAAACAGCAAAAACACAAGAAATCTTTGAAGGAAGTACCTGAACTCAGAGTCATACCAAAGTAAGTTAAAATACAATACATTTTACATTAATACTTTTCTGTTTTTATTTCTTGGGATTTTTGCAAAGATATACTGAGCTTCTACTCAATTTTGGCGCTACTTATTTTGGTCGATTTGCTGTTTAGAACATTTGGCGGCTACTTCATTTGGCCGATTTGTACAGTACAGTACAGTACAGTACAGTTATTTGCCAATACCGTACATAATTATGCATTTGTTAAAAATATCTGTTGCTGACTAGCTCTTATTAGTTTTGCAAAGATATGATGTTTTTCCCTCTATAAATGAACTGTGAATAATTTACATGATGATTCATTCAGAAATTATTTACTCAATATGCTTCATATTTTAATGTTTTAGACAGAAATGGTTAAACTTGAAACAAGAGTACTTAGACCAGCAGAAACTGAGCATGTCCAAGCTAAAGCGAACTCTCAATGAATTCAAGGCGAAAACATCACCAGGTAAATCACTTTTTGTACCCTTAAATTTCTTACCAGTGATCTCCCCAACATTAAAGCAGGATCGAGGAGGGTGCAGCACCCACATGAGATTTTAAAAACAGGCTTACACCACTTGAAAATCCATGAAAAATAGGCATATTTTGACCAATTTAGGTATTGATTGTGAAAATGAGAATTTTGCACATTCATGTGAGTGAAATGTCTACATATATTCCTATACTATTTACAAAATAAATTATGAATATGGGTCAGGAATTTGGCGATTGCAACATAATTTATGCCAGTCTTTGTTCTTAATAATTTTTTTGAGATATTGATATTTAGCCATTGTAGTAGGTATTCTTATTTTACAAATATTCCTGGGAATCCTAGTTGAGTTTATATTCATACCCTGAATTGCAGGAAGAAAACTTTGGTCAAACTCTGATAACACAAGTACATATAACATAAATGGGAATAATGAGAAGGCTAGGGACAAGAAAATTGAGTTCATAGCTTATGTTTGCAATAGTCAAAGTATATGAATAGATGAGTTGAAGTTTGGTATATTCTGATTGTAATTGTATTATAGGTGCTAATGAGAACAATGAGAAGGCCAAGGACAAGAAGATGGAGTTCATACCTGATGTATGCAATAGTCAAAGTATATGAATAGATGAGTTGAAGTATGGTATATTCTAATTGTAATTGTATTATAGGTGCTAATGAGAACAATGAGAAGGCCAAGGACAAGAAAATGGGAGTTCAACCTGATGTTTGCAATAGTCAAAGTATATGAATAGATGAGTTGAAGTTTGGTATATTCTAATTGTAATTGTATTATAGGTGCTAATGAGAACAATGAGAAGGCCAAGGACAAGAAGATAGAGTTCATACCTGATGTATGCAATAGTCAAAGTATATGAATAGATGAGTTGAAGTTTGGTATATTCTGATTGTAATTGTATTATAGGTGCTAATGAGAACAATGAGAAGGCCAAGGACAAGAAAATGGGAGTTCAACCTGATGTTTGCAATAGTCAAAGTATATGAATAGATGAGTTGAAGTATGGTATATTCTGATTGTAATTGTATTATAGGTGCTAATGAGAACAATGAGAAGGCCAAGGACAAGAAAATGGGAGTTCAACCTGATGTTTGCAATAGTCAAAGTATATGAATAGATGAGTTGAAGTTTGGTATATTCTGATTGTAATTGTATTATAGGTGCTAATGAGAACAATGAGAAGGCCAAGGACAAGAAAATGGGAGTTCAACCTGATGTTTGCAATAGTCAAAGTATATGAATAGATGAGTTGAAGTTTGGTATATTCTGATTGTAATTGTATTATAGGTGCTAATGAGAACAATGAGAAGGCCAAGGACAAGAAAATGGGAGTTCAACCTGATGTTTGCAATAGTCAAAGTATATGAATAGATGAGTTGAAGTTTGGTATATTCTGATTGTAATTGTATTATAGGTGCTAATGAGAACAATGAGAAGGCCAAGGACAAGAAAATGGGAGTTCAACCTGATGTTTGCAATAGTCAAAGTATATGAATAGATGAGTTGAAGTTTGGTATATTCTGATTGTAATTGTATTATAGGTGCTAATGAGAACAATGAGAAGGCCAAGGACAAGAAAATGGGAGTTCAACCTGATGTTTGCAATAGTCAAAGTATATGAATAGATGAGTTGAAGTTTGGTATATTCTGATTGTAATTGTATTATAGGTGCTAATGAGAACAATGAGAAGGCCAAGGACAAGAAGATGGAGTTCATACCTGATGTATGCAATAGTCAAAGTATATGAATAGATGAGTTGAAGTTTGGTATATTCTGATTGTAATTGTATTATAGGTGCTAATGAGAACAATGAGAAGGCCAAGGACAAGAAGATTGAGTTCATACCTGATGTTTGCAATAGTCAAAGTACATATGAATAGATGAGTTGAAGTATGGTATATTCTAATTGTAACTGTATTATAGGTGCTAATGAGAACAATGAGAAGGCCAAGGACAAGAAGATTGAGTTCATACCTGATGTTTGCAATAGTCAAAGTACATATGAATAGATGAGTTGAAGTTTGGTATATTCTGATTGTAATTGTATTATAGGTGCTAATGAGAACAATGAGAAGGCCAAGGACAAGAAAATGGGAGTTCAACCTGATGTATGCAATAGTCAAAGTATATGAATAGATGAGTTGAAGTATGGTATATTCTGATTGTAATTGTATTATAGGTGCTAATGAGAACAATGAGAAGGCCAAGGACAAGAAGATGGAGTTCATACCTGATGTATGTAATAGTCAAAGTATATGAATAGATGAGTTGAAGTTTGGTATATTTTGATTGTAATTGTATTATAGGTGCTAATGAGAACAATGAGAAGGCCAAGGACAAGAAAATGGGAGTTCAACCTGATGTATGCAATAGTCAAAGTATATGAATAGATGAGTTGAAGTTTGGTATATTCTGATTGTAATTGTATTATAGGTGCTAATGAGAACAATGAGAAGGCCAAGGACAAGAAAATGGGAGTTCAACCTGATGTTTGCAATAGTCAAAGTATATGAATAGATGAGTTGAAGTTTGGTATATTTTGATTGTAATTGTATTATAGGTGCTAATGAGAATAATGAGAAGACCAAGGACAAGAAAATGGGAGTTCAACCTGATGTTTGCAATAGTCAAAGTATATGAATAGATGAGTTGAAGTTTGGTATATTCTGATTGTAATTGTATTATAGGTGCTAATGAGAACAATGAGAAGGCCAAGGACAAGAAAATGGGAGTTCAACCTGATGTATGCAATAGTCAAAGTATATGAATAGATGAGTTGAAGTATGGTATATTCTGATTGTAATTGTATTATAGGTGCTAATGAGAACAATGAGAAGGCCAAGGACAAGAAGATGGAGTTCATACCTGATGTATGTAATAGTCAAAGTATATGAATAGATGAGTTGAAGTTTGGTATATTTTGATTGTAATTGTATTATAGGTGCTAATGAGAACAATGAGAAGGCCAAGGACAAGAAAATGGGAGTTCAACCTGATGTATGCAATAGTCAAAGTATATGAATAGATGAGTTGAAGTTTGGTATATTCTGATTGTAATTGTATTATAGGTGCTAATGAGAACAATGAGAAGGCCAAGGACAAGAAAATGGGAGTTCAACCTGATGTTTGCAATAGTCAAAGTATATGAATAGATGAGTTGAAGTTTGGTATATTCTGATTGTTACTGTATTATAGGTGCTAATGAGAACAATGAGAAGGCCAAGGACAAGAAAATGGGAGTTCAACCTGATGTTTGCAATAGTCAAAGTATATGAATAGATGAGTTGAAGTTTGGTATATTCTGATTGTAATTGTATTATAGGTGCTAATGAGAATAATGAGAAGACCAAGGACAAGAAAATGGGAGTTCAACCTGATGTTTGCAATAGTCAAAGTATATGAATAGATGTGTTGAAGTATGGTATATTCTGATTGTAACTCTATTATAGGTGCTAATGAGAACTATGAGAAGGCCAAGGACAAGAAGATGGAGTTCATACCTTATGTTTGCAATATTCAAAGTATATGAATAGATGAGTTGAAGTATGGTATATTCTGATTGTAACTGTATTATAGGTGCTAATGAGAACTATGAGAAGGCCAAGGACAAGAAGATGGAGTTCATACCTGATGTATGCAATAGTGAAAGTATATGAATAGATGAGTTGAAGTATGGTATATTCTGATTGTAACTGTATTATAGGTGCTAATGAGAATAATGAGAAGGCCAAGGACAAGAAGATGGAGTTCATACCTTATGTTTGCAATAGTCAAAGTATATGAATAGATGAGTTGAAGTATGGTATATTCTGATTGTATTATAGGTGCTAATGAGAACAATGCGAAGGCCAAGGACATGAAGATGGAGTTCATACCTTATGTTTGCAATATTCAAAGTATATGGGGAGATGAGTTGAAGTATGGTATATTCTGATTGTATTATAGGTGCTAATGAGAACAATGCGAAGGCCAAGGACATGAAGATGGAGTTCATACCTTATGTTTGCAATATTCAAAGTATATGGGGAGATGAGTTGAAGTATGGTATATTCTGATTGTAATTATCCCACCGAACGAAGTTCGAGAGGGATATAGGAAAGCCGTCCGTCCGTCCGTCTGTCCGTCCGTTCGTCCGTCTGTCCGTCCGTCCGTCTGTTTGTCCGGGCGATAACTCAAATACCATTTCACGGATTTGATTCAAATTTTATAGGCTTATGCCTTATGGGTGTAGGACCTCTGCTCGAGAAGGAATTTTCAATATTGCCACTGAATTCAAAATGGCCGCCATTTTTCGTAAAAATGTAATCTTTAATAACTCAAATACTAGTTTGCAGATTTGGTTCAAATTTTATATGCTGATGCCTAGAGACACAGTAGATATGTTCGAGTAAAAATTTTCAAGATGGCGGCTAGATTTTAAAATGGCGGCCATTTTTCGTAAAAAAACTTAATCTTTGATAACTCAAATACCAGTGAACAGATTTGGTTCAAATTGTATATGATGATGCCAAGGGACACAGTAGATCTGTTCGAGAAAATTTTTTCAAGATGGCCGCTGAATTTCAAAATGGCGGCCATTTTTCGTAAAAAAACGTAATCTCTGGTAACTCAAATACCAGTGAACGGATTTGGTTCAAATTTTATATGATGATGCCTAGGGACAAAGGAGCTTCGCTCAAGATGGGATTTTCAAGATGGCCACTGATTGTCGAAATGGCGGCCATTTTTCGTAAAAAACGTAATCTTCGATAACTCAAATACCAGTGAACGGATTTGGCTCAAATTTTATATGATAATGCCTAGGGACACAATAGATCTGTTCAAGAAAGAATTTTCAAGATGGCGGCTTGATATTCAAAATGGCGGCTATTTTTCGTAAAAAAGGTAATCTTTGATAACTCAAATACCAGTGAACGGATTTGGCTCAGATTTTATATGATGATGCCTAGGGACAAAGGAGATCTGTTTGAGAAAGAATTTTCAAGATGGCGGCTGAATTTCAAAATGGACGCCATTTTTCGTAAAAAACGTAATTTTTGATGACTCAAATACCAGTGAACAGATTTGGCTCATTTTTTATGATGATTCCTAGGGACACAGTAGATCTGTTCGAGAAAATTTTTTCAAGATGGCGGCTGAATTTCAAAATGGTAGCCATTTTTCATAAGAAAAAACGTAATCTTTGATAAGTCAAATACCAGTGAACAGATTTGGTTCAAATTTTATATGCTGATGCCCACACACACAGTAGCTCTGTTCGAGAAAAAAATTTTAAGATGGCGGCTGATCTTCAGAATGGCTGCCATTTTTCATTTTCATTTTCATAATCTTTGGTAACTCAACTGCCGTTCGGTGGGATTTGCTACTCCGAGGAGTTGCTGTTTTTCTAGTTGTATTATAGGTGCTAATGAGAACTATGAGAAGGCCAAGGACAAGAAGATGGAGTTCATACCTTATGTTTGCAATATTCAAAGTATATGAATAGATGAGTTGAAGTATGGTATATTCTGATTGTAATTGTATTATAGGTGCTAATGAGAACAATGAGAAGGCCAAGGACAAGAAGATGGAGTTCATACCTTATGTTTGCAATATTCAAAGTATATGAATAGATGAGTTGAAGTATGGTATATTCTGATTGTAATTGTATTATAGGTGCTAATGAGAACAATGAGAAGGCCAAGGACAAGAAGATAGAGTTCATACCTGATGTATGCAATAGTCAAAGTATATGAATAGATGAGTTGAAGTTTGGTATATTCTGATTGTAATTGTATTATAGGTGCTAATGAGAACAATGAGAAGGCCAAGGACAAGAAGATGGAGTTCATAGCTGATGTAGTAGTCAGAGTGAAGAGTGAACAGCCACTGGACAAGAAGAAACTTAAGGTATGGTAAAGTACAAATTTGAAAAACTGTGCCAGTGTTTACATAAGTTGCCCATGCTACTTGGTTGCAGGGCAGGTTCTTTTCATTTTCATGTTTAAATGACTTTACCATCAAATTGCAATCAGGTAGCTGGTAGCTGATAGTCACATTCTCAAATACAGCCTTAGCATGGGTGTAGCAATACTCTAATATGCGATAGTGCAGAAAGACAATAATATTCTTACCTTCTAAAAAGAAGCTGAACATAATACTAAACTGAGAGCTGAACAAGCTATGTGTAATACATGGGGGAAACATACCAAAAATCAAAATGTTCAATATATACTACAAAATACAAAGGTTAACAATGAAGTAATTGTACTACAAGATGTATTTCAAAATTCAAAAAGACTTCTAACCCTATTAGAATTCAATGACAAATTCCACAGTAATATTAATTTTTTAGACTATTTGAGTCTAAAAAATACTATTCCAAAGCTTGGCTAAGAGACGTCATGGAGAATAATCAAAATATCATTGATTATGAAAGAAACAAAGCACATGTAAAAAAGTTCATGACTCAGTCAAAGATTAGTAAAATAATATACTGGGAATTTGTTCAGAACCTAGAAAAGAATTCAAAATATATAGAAGGATGGAATAAAGATCTGAATTTGTCACTCAATCAAAATGATTGGAAGATGATAAATAAACTTAACAAACTGAGTAACTACGAACCTAAGTTAGCATCATTCATTTACAAAGTCCTTCATAGATTTTTAGCAACTAATACATACCTAAAGATGTGTGGACTCATAGAGTCAAACATTTGCACTTTCTGTAAAGCAAATCCTGAAACGATTTGCCATCTTCTGTATGAATGTACTTTTGTAAGTGCTTTATTAAATGACATTAAACAATGGCTCCCTTTGGAGCTCACATTGTTATGTACTAAACAAAATGTATTGATAGGACCTGAGAGTATAAATGAAAAAACAATCATCCTAAATAATATGCTATGTATTTTTAAAAGGTATGTTTATTTGTGTAAACATTCTATGCTAAAACCAACACTTAAAGGTTATATAAGTAATGTGAAGGAATATTGTATTATGGATAAACGGGTTGGCAGAGGCGATAAGTGGAAAATCATGGAAGCAAAATTAAACAAATGATACTGATGATTTTTCCTTAAAATAAAAAAGATTGCCAATGTAATAACATTTCTTAAGAATAACGCTTAACCAATACTGTATTGTAAAATTGTAAAATGTATGTTTACCATGTAACTGTATTGTAATTGTTTTTTGCAATTGCTTTAACATGCTTATTCTTTGAAATAAAAAAAATTAAAAAAAAAAAAAAAATTCTTACCTTCCGTGTTGAAGAGCTCAAATTTCGGGTACAGATTTGAACAGGGTCCGATTATGAACACATCATTTCACCTTTATTTGACATTCTTCTTTATGTATATTTGCACAAGTGATAGAAATATATGTCCATATGACAACCGTATTTAGCGTTTTCATGACTTTCCAAAACTGACGATAATCATGAAATGTTTTACTGTGAGGTCACCGAATCCCGTTCCCGGAAGCTGAGACCCGATGGTTCGATATGAAAGAAGAAGCAAGTTCTTGTGTATATAACGCGGGCTTGATTTCATGTTTATATATGTTTGACTTGTATCCACCAATGAAAATTTGTTCCACTTGAATCAATGCTTTGCGGGAGATATTTGTGTTAATGGCCATGTTTTTGACTATTGCGCATTAGACTATTGTCAAGGGGGTGGGATTTTTTGGCGTTTGCATCTTTTGGAGTGAAGCGAGCCTCAAAAAAAAAGGGGGAGGGGTACTGCATTCTAAGCATTAATAAAACTTTAATTTGCTAATGTTTTTTACAAAATTGCCATTTTCATTTTTTGTTTGGGGGTGCAAGCACACCCATCACACCCTTTCTGGCTTGGCTTTATGCTAAGTGATTCATTCATTGTATTGGAGCTAAACTTTTTTAATTTTAATGATGTTTACATGAAAATTTTATTATGATTATATTTTGCTTTTTCAGAGTGTATTGTGTAATGCAGGGGATGTGGCATATATAGACCTTCTGGATGGAAACAAAGAGGGACATATTCGCTATAAGGAGGCATCAGGTGTAGAAACATTAGTAGCTACACCACCCCTAGACTGCACAATTAGTCGAATATCAGGTAGGTTTCTAGTTATTTGCACACACGGATCCAGGATATTGCGCTAGAGGGGGCGCTAATATATCCCAAAAATGTGTGAGAATGAATGCTGAGTGTATGCTATGGGGATGAACACGAATAATATTGAAAATAGAGTGCAGTTATGGGTAATCTGGGTAATTTTCCCACAATTAAAATATGAATTCATGACTTCCTTTAATTTGTATTACTTTGTTATATATGCCACAAGAGTAATTTTACTTCAAACTTTTTTTCTTTATTTCAAACTAAAATGTGTGCATCTTTTATCAACTCGAAATGAAAGGAAATTGAATATCCAGAAATTAAAAGCTCATCCAATTTTTTTATTTCAATTACTTACTTGAGTATACTGCCATTAAAGTAAGATTGTATGACATGTAATCACTTTTTAATATGCATGTATATTTTTAATATGTGTGTTTTACTTCATAGATGGAACTGTAAAGATGCTGCACTACAAGGTTGTATGTGCCACTGTTGTAAAAGTGTTTTAGCAAATAAAAAATAAATAAAATAATTACAGGTGAAGAGGAGAAAAATTACTGGGACAAATTGATTGCACAGAGAGATGCTAAACTGAACTCTAAAACCAGGGACAAGAAACGTGGAAAACATAAGGTAAATTATACTCTTCAAAGTAGAAAGCTTATATCCAATCAGAATGTGGAATGAGAAAATCACCAGAATTTCTGCCTATAGTATAGGTGGCTATGTGACTTTCATTTCACATTTAAACATTCATAAATAGGGCATTTGAGATTATTGGACTGTATTGTAAAAATTTGAATATGTTGCAATTGTCTGAGAGAAGTTTAGCTAATTAATGTGGATTCAGAATAGCTGAGTGCAAACAGAAATGTTTGCCTTAAACTTTAAAATGTCAAAGTGATCTCCAAAGTGACTCTGGTTTGGCAGGAGAATTTGATTTGAATTTCTTACAGTTGAATTCATATTGAAAAATAATGAATTATTAGTATCACGCCCGGTGATCGTACAAAATGGATGGAGGGGGGAGTAGGCAATTTCTGCAAGAAAACTCAACAAATATCGAAGTTCTATTTTTTTAAGAGAAAATTTACAACTGAATTGCCAAATGAATAGGCGCAGTGCATGGCAAAATATGTTAGGTCTTCTAGTATTTTTTTTTGAACTGATACCTTTCTAAGATATGAGATCTATTAAAAAAGGCGCATCATCACCAACGTGCAAAAGTCAATGTTTTTGCTATAAATCAGGCAACAATGGTATACATGACCTGTAATAAATAGGTATAAGGGACATTATTATCACATTACTAATGACATTGCTCACTTTTTAAAGTTTTTTTTTGATAAAATTTATTTCAGTTTAACATAATTATTCACAGGTATGGTACAAAGATGAGGTTTCAAATTCATAAAGAGTATTTAAGTTACTCACACATTTTTCAATATACCATTTGTGAATAGATAACTTTGCTATCAGTATATTTTTGTAATTCTTTACTCTACCTATTCCATATATTTGATTGGCAGTTATATTTGGGAAATGTTTAGTCCAAAATTCAGCAACTGCTTTGCATTTAACAAAATGATGCTCTAAATTATCTATTTCATCACAGCTTGTACATTTGCTTGAATTTAAAATACCATATCTATGCAGTAAAAGATGGATATATTGAATGTAAAATCTTCCAGTGTAGTATAATAAGGTCTGTTGCTGTTGTACAATTTTTTGCATTAAGCCAGGTTTTTCTTGTTAAAACTTCATTTTTGAATACAATTTCACAAACCCGTTTTTCTATTAAAATTTTCCTAAAATCTTGAACATTTAAGTACTGCACATCTGTATCATTGAAGTATAAAGTATCTTCTGGAGCTACAATTTGAAATTCTAATATCATCTCCCTTTTGAGTGCTTGTTTCAAAGTTTGATATTGCATCCATGTTTCAGCATTTCTGCCTACTGAGGAAACAATTTCATCATAAGAAATAATCTGGCCATTTTTGCAAACATCACATATAAACTTTTTAAAGTTAGTTTCCATGGTTATACAAAAAATAATCGAAACAAATTAATATTGGATGGAGGGGGAGTGGATGGAGGGGATTGGGCGCCGTAACCACTAGGTTGCGAGTTCGAGACGCGTGTGCTCCTTGTGTTTATTCATTTAGTTTGCCACCCAATTTAATAAATCTAATATTGTCTTTTATTTGTGTTTTTTGTTACAGGTGATCAGACAGGCAGAGAGATTGATACAAGAAGTCAGCAAGAGAGAACACATCATATTCACATAGGCTAGCAAGTTTCCCTTATAAATAATCCTGAGAGGAATTGATACTGGAAGAGAACACATCATATTCACATAGGCTAGCAAGTTCCCCTTATAAATAATCCTAAGGGGAATTGATACTGGAAGAGAACACATCATATTCACATAGGCTAGCAAGTTCCCCTTATAAATAATCCTGAGGGGAATTGATACTGGAAAAGAACACATCATATTCACATAGGCGAGCAAGTTCCCCTTATAAGTAATCCTGAGAGGAATTGATGCTGGAAGAGAACACATCATATTCACATAGGCTAGCAAGTTCCCCTTATAAATAATCCTGAGAGGAATTGATACTGGAAGAGAACACATCATATTCACATAGGCTAGCAAGTTCCCCTTATAAATAATCCTGAGAGGAATTGATACTGGAAGAGAACACATCATATTCACATAGGCTAGCAAGTTCCCCTTATAAATAATCCTGAGAGGAATTGATACTGGAAGAGAACACATCATATTCACATAGGCTAGCAAGTTCCCCTTATAAATAATCCTGAGAGGAATTGATACTGGAAGAGAACACATCATATTCACATAGGCTAGCAAGTTCCCCTTATAAATAATCCTGAGAGGAATTGATACTGGAAGAGATCACATCATATTCACATAGGCTAGCAAGTTCCCTTTATAAATAATCCTGAGAGGAACTGATACTGAAGAGAACTCATCTTATTCACGTACAAGTAGACAAGCAAATTCCCCTTATGGACACTCCTCTCTAAAAGTGTGGCAGACCGGCAGACCTTTTTACCATGCTTTTTACGTTTAATGATTCGAACTTTTTCGTTAAAGTTATATGCATCAATTCCTGGACTATATTAATTAATGAATAAAATTGAGATTCTTTAACATAACACCCAATTGATGTTAACAGTTGCATAACTCACTGTATATATTTGCTGGACCAATGGCATATAGCCTAATTACAGTGCATGTATGAAGATGAAATCGTAGAGAGGCTTCAGAACAGCTCTGGTACATTATAGCATCTGTAGATTCATTTGTACAGTATTTTATATGATACTGTACAAACATATATGAACACTGAAGCCCATTATGTGAAGATAGTTCTCCTTTTTCATGAATTTCTTATAATAAGCATGTTGAATAATGCAGACGATATTGTACAAACTAATACATGTACAATACAGTTGTTGTATAGCCCATAGCTACGACGTCCAGGGAATTAAATATCTACAATGAAATGTCGTATGTAAGTTATATTAATTTTGATATATAAAACAGCAAAAACAATCTAAAGATCTTTCGTCTTTTTAATGATTTAATTTTCGGAATATTATGCTAAAATCCCCCTTTGGCCGCCATTATAAACTTTGAAAAAACCCAAATCTCCATCATTTCATATTTCATTCGTTAAGTGATCAGCAACTCCAATTTACCGAATAAAGAAGCAGTTTAAACACCATACCGGGGTATTTTCTTATCTGCGCACTTTGATGTTCCAATTTATTAAAATAGCGATGTAGGTCAAAATAATTCCAACGTGAGCAATTGTTTACTACGCGTGTGCCCTTCATATCAGAATTGAGCAAATGGTACGACAAACGTGAATTACAATAAATGGACGCTGAATATGTCTCAAAAAGTAACCTGACTCCCTAAAATTTGATGAAGATCAATCGAACCCCTCTTACTCAAGGGGCGAGAAGGAAAATTCTCAATAAATGGTGTATAGTTGGTTTGGCAGTATTTTCAGTTAGGGAAGAGTCTTGGATGAAAATTCCACCTAGGTGATAGCTTCACAGAGTGGTAGGAAGTTCTTTTTTTTGAGGAGTTAGCCCCCCACCCCCCAAAAACACCCCCACCCTGGGGAAAAAATTGTTCACACTAAATAACCTTAGATATTTTGATGTTTGTAAGTGACATACATAGATATTATATATATGAATAATTTGCAGTATTATTGATGCTGATTACTCCTAAAGAATTTGAATATCAGTACAAAGTGTGTACCCCAGGGGGCAAATTCGTGACTCATTTTCTTACTGTTTTGATTCTAACTTTTCAATTAGACACTGTAAGAGGTTGAAAAAATTCATGTGAAGTGCCCAATAGCAGGGTTAGTAACCCTGAAAGATGAAAAGCCATTGAAGAAGTAGGAGCTGAGAAAAAAATTGTTGATTTTTCGAAAAATTTGACATTTTCAACAACTGGATTTTGTGTATGACTATAGCTGACCCCTATAGTTTCTAGATCCATCCCTCTATGATGATATTTATGGTTTAATACTGTGGAACTGAGATGTAAAACATAATTTAGATGGGTTTTAAGGAAGTTAAAGGTTTTAAACAAGTCCAAAATTTGAAAAATTGTAAATATAAGGTTTCAAATTTACGAATTCCAGGTATAGCCATGGCTGACCCCTATAGTTTCTAGATCCATCCATCTTTGATGGTATTTATGCTTTCGTAGTGCGAAACTAAGATGTGAAACATAAATTAGATGGGTTTTAAGGAAGTTATAGGTTTTAAACAAGTTCAAAATTCGAAAAATTGTAAATGTAAGGTTTAAAATTTACGAATTCCAGCTATAGCCATGGGTGACCCCTATAGTTTCTAGATCCATCCCTCTTTGATGATATTTATGGTTTTGTAGTATGGAACTAAAGATGTAAAACATAATTTAGATTGGTTTTAAGGAAGTTAATGATTTAAACAAGTCCAAAATTTGAAAAATTGTAAATATAAGGTTTCAAATTTACGAATTTTAGGTATAGCCATGGATGACCCTTATGGCTTTTTCATCACTACTTCTATGATGAAACATATACTTTTAGAGTGTGAAACTAAGATGTAAAACATACCGAAGATGAATTTTAAGGAAGTTTAAGAATTTTAACAAGTGCAATATTTGAAAAATTGAGAAATATCAGGTCTCAAAGGAGCACGGAAAGTATCGCAACAGATTTCAGACAGTCATATGTTGGATTTTGTCTGAGGATTTAAGCAGGTGCATATGATAGGCCATTGCATTACCTACGGGAAAAGAACTCTTAGAGGTGATAAAATAGTTTGAAATTTGAGACAGCGAAGGTGAAAACAATCCACCCACATGTTTTTTGGGAAATGTCGTCCTGATTTTCAACCCCGTTCACCCCTGGTTTTTCAATTTTTGTTGCATACATATGTTGCGTTTTGAGACATAGTTAACCATTAAAAGGATAAATTTCTTTTAGATAAAGCGGAAAACAATATTTTCCTGTTATTTTCCCATAGGGAAAACTCATGTGATCCATTGCTTTCAGCTTAATTTTGGTCACCCATATTTGATATCTTTAAAATCCCTGATGGAATGTATTTTTCATTTAAAGGGGTTAACTGTATGTAAAACACATATATTTATACATATACACATATATATTTATGCATGTGGCTGGGTTGTTTGCACCTTCCCTGTCTCAAAATAGAAATTATTTTATCATCTCTACACTCTACGGGTGCTTTTCCTGGAGGAAATGCATTGGCCTAACATGCAACATGAAATATGCACCTCCTCAAATCCTCAGAAAATAGCCAAAATCCAACATATGATTGCTGAAATCTGTTGCGATACTTTCAGTCCTCCTTTACGATTTCAGGTATAGCCCTGGATGTATGACTTAGCTTAGAAATTAGATGTTGAAAATATTGTGGTCAGGTTTGATCCATGTTACATGTATTGTTAAAAGAAAAATCATTAGAGTTGAGGACTTAACCCTTGAGTTCCTAAGGGAGTGAGAGGTTAATAAATCCCCCAGTAAGTGTAACTGCTCCTAGGGATATCGTATACAGTGTAGTAATTGATTGATTAAATGGATTATAACCAATTAATTATTATTTGATGATATCTATTATGTGATATAGCATTTTTACTTTTTCACATCAACATGTTCGATGTAATGTTCTGCATTATTAAAATACATAAAGACATGGTTAATTAAAAGAAACATGTTTTCTCTATATTTTGTTATGCCCCTTCTGTAATTAAGCAATGATCATCTCCTAATACAAAATGTTGTTATGAATTATCAAATTATAATCACTACACTCCCAATAAAACAATTTGTCATCAGGCAACGGTAATTATTTAAAATAAGGATTATAAGGATCATACCCCCCCCCCTCAGGCCTAGAAACTTCCGTTAGTGCAATGATATAAGGAACTCTAGGGTAAAAAGGTCTTGTCACATTAAAATCTTCATGCAGATCAAAAAAGTATATATGGTGATATGATCAATTTGTTTCAAACAAACAGACATTGAAGAAAATGTTTACATACTGACTTTGCAGATGACATTTTCTAGCATAGTTGAAGAATTTTTTTCATTTATTGAAATGATAGTCATAAAATTATAATATCAGTGTCATTTGATGCAAATTACTGCAGTCCCACATGTTCTGCTGAATGTAAAACAGAGTGAATAATTTTAAAATCAGCCTCTTCAGGAGTCAGGGAGTGGAATTTAATAGGAGATTTCAGTTATCATTTTCACAGATATTTGAGTTCTCTCCAATAGTTCCACTTAAAACAATCTTGACATTTGGCACACTTTTAGAATCCTGCTTTATTGAATTTCTTTGTAATCTTTGAAAATTTGTCTTATATTACTTGGACAAAGGTATTCATATTTTTAGGTAATGGTGTAATTTCTTCTATGGATTAAAGTTCAATAGGGGAAGCATCCATTCTTCGCATTCTTTCAGAATCCTTTACTGATGGAGACAACTAGCTAGGAGTCTAATATGAAATCTATTCTTTGGGCTCCTTTACTAGATTTGATGGAGTAGTCAAATATAGCTTTCCAAAACTCTCCAAATTTCAACATATAAGTTAATCTTCATTTTCCCTTTGTCATAGCCATTGCATCAACCACGAAAGTTTTATCAATTTGTGGTATGGTTTCATCGATCTCCATTTCAAACCCCTTTTTAAGTTCTGATTTTACAGGATAAGATAGATGATCATTGTCAAACGAACTCTTTGTATCCATATAAGATCATAGTTTACTCACACATTTCTAGGCAAGGTGTGTCCAATCCCAGCCAATTCAATATTCCATATAACTGCATTCCAATTTACTACTCTCATAAACCCAAGGTCAGTTTTAGATTCTAGAGAAACTAATGAAACTAATGATCATAGGGAATAGCATGCCAAGTGCTTGTATTTGAATTTATGTGGATTACTCATTTGGTAGACACCTTTATCAAATGTTAAAGTGTTGTTGATTTTCAAGTTGTACAAGCACAGTGTCATGGGTGCTTTCTTTTCCTGACATAGTATAACATTGTGGTAAAAATTATCAAAGGCACCTAGTACAGTAGTTCTAGTTCATAATCTTGTATAAATGATATATCAGCAGTGAAACCTGTATATCCCAACATCTGACTATTGTGAACACCTACCAATCATCCCAACACCTGACTTATCTGAAAACCAACCAATCTGAACACTTTTCCCCAGTTCAATTTTTCCTTCCTCCCATTGACTCCTATGTTTAAAAATTGAAATCTGAACACCTCTTAATTCGAACAGTGAACACTCATATTTGAAAAATCAACCTGTTTAACTTGAACTTTTTTTTACCAAATATCACATATTTCTTACAAAATTACTCAAATATTGTCAGTTTAACACTGAATTGTTATGATATCAAAACTTTTGAATTGGATTTTGGAATGCTATTAAGCTTTTTGGGTGGTCAGTATAAATATTATTAATATTTATTAATATTTTTCATTGAGAATGCATTCATATTTCTTCAAAATCCAGAATATTGCAGATGTAAAAACCTCAAAATTCAAACACTTCTAATTTGAACGCTTTTAGCTGGTCCAAATACTATATCTAGTAGCATTCAGATTAGAAAGATTTTACTGTAGTTCATGACTTTTCACTCCATCTATATGCAGCAGACTAACTGCTGCAACAGGTATATATTCTACACCTGGTCTCTAAGCTATGATATCACAGTTGTTACTATTATGCTCATAACCTTCGATTATCAGGGCTCATTCAAGGCTGTACCTGAATAACCTGAAAATGAGACCAATTTTCGAGATCAATTTTTCAAATTTTGCACTTGTTTAAAACCTTGAACTTCCTTCAAACTCATCTTATGCATCTTTTACATTTTAGTTAAATACTCTAAAAATATATATCTCATCACTGAGGTATAGAGGTAAAAAATCATAAGGGTCATCTTTGGCTATACCTAAAATTCATAAATTTGAAAACTTACATTTACAATTCTTCAAATTTTTGACTTGTTTAAAACCTTAAACTTTCTTAAAATTCATTTTGGGTATGTTAAATCTTAGTCCCACACTCTAAAACTGTATATTTAATCATAGAGGTACGGATGTAAAAACCATAAGGGTCAGCCATGGCTATACCTGAAATTCATAAATTTGAAACCTTATATTTACAATTTTTCAAATTTTGAACTTGTTTAAAACCTTAAACTTCCTTAAAACCCATCTAAATTGTGTTTTACATATTAGTTCCATACAGCAATACCATAAGTATCACCATAGAGGGATGGATCTAGAAACTATAGGGGTCTGCCATGGCTCTACCTGGAATTCGTAAATTTGAAACCTTATATTTACAATTTTTCAAATTTTGGACTTGTTTAAAACCTTAAACTTCCTTAAAACCCATCTTAATTATGTTTTACATCTTAGTTCCACACTATAAAACCATATATATCATCATAGAGGGATGGATCCAGGAACTTTAGGGGTCAGCTATAGTCATACACAAAATCCAGTTGTAAAAAATGTCAAATTTTTCGAAAAATCAACAATTTTTTTCTCAGCTCCTACTTCTTCCATGGCTTTGCATCTTTCAGGGTTACTAACCCTGCTATTGGGCACTTCACATGAATTTTTTCAACCTCTTACAGTGTCTAGTTGAAAAGTTAGGATCAAAATAGTAAGGAAATGGGTCACGAATTTGCCCCCTGGGGTACACACTTTGTACTAATATTCAATTTTTTTAGGAGTAATCAGCATCAATTATACTGCAAATGATTCATATATATAATATCTATGTATGTCACTTACAAACATCAAAATATCTAAGGTTATTTTGTGTGAACAATTTTTTTCCCCGGGGTGGGGTGTTTTTGTGGGGTAGGGGGCTAACTCTTCAAAAAAAAGAACTTCCTACCACTCTGTGAAGCTATCACCTAGGTGGAAATTTCATCCAAGACTCTCCCCTAACTGAAAATGCTGCCAAACCAACTATACTCCATTTATTGAGAATTTCCCTCCTCGCCCCTAGAGTATCTATAAACAGGTACATTTAAATATGCAACACTATCTGACCATGGGGTTTAAGCGTTTCATAGATAGTCACGAACGCCAAACTATTATGCAAAGTTTAAAAAATCCCGACTTCTCCCGATTTTTAAAACGAAAATATCCCGATTTTTATTTTTTACTTGACAGGTATGGTAATGGCTGCGTCCCTTTGGATTCTTTCAAGTAATTTGTTCTTGTAGGGAGTGGGAATTATCATATAGGACATCTCCATCTTTCATGATAGAACGTACCATGCTAAAATAAAGTGTTTCTAGATTTTTCAAAATTTGTTAAAATGGTAGAATTAAGGCTAGAAGACCAGTTCAGGCAATCGTGGGAAAATGATGTAAGTAATAGTAACATAGGTTTTAATTATAGAATTTTTAAAACAGAATTCAAGTTTGAAGACTACTTATTTTCACTGCCTCAAAAATATAGAGTCATTTTATCAAAATACAGAATGTCCAACACAAAATTACCTATTGAGAGGGGTAGGTATAGAAATGTAGAAAGAAATAGAAGATTTTGTGAACTATGTAATAACAATTCATTAGGAGATGAATTTCATTTTATATTAGAATGTAAGTCTGTTAAAAGCATTAGAAAACAATACTTACCCCAATATTTTTGTAAAAACATTAGTACTTTTAAATATGCCAAGCTGTTACAATCTGATAGTAAAGTATTGTTAGCATTATGTAAGTTTCTAAATGAGGCTGGGAAGCAATTGTAAATATGTTTGTTATGAAATACTTAATTGTTAAATACTTATTTACTGTATGTACTTTTGCCTAATACCCTTTATTTGGGTGATGGTATAATAAATAAAATTGAAATTGAAATCGATGTTTTTGGGATGGGTTAAAACGAAAGGAACCTATCTTTATCAATGAGCGACTATCATTGATAAAAATATGATATGGCGTTATTTAGAACAAAATCACAGGTTTTTAAATGGACTATGTAGGAGTCATACCTTTTTGCGGATGGATATGGAATAGGGTGTTTCACTTTTCGACTTTTTTTTCAAATCAAGATGGAGTTTTGCCCAGTTGGCCTCTTGATAAAGGAAAGCGAGCACAACAATTTCAACCAAATCCGTTGACGTTTAGACCTCCCCCACCACACTGGGCAAAACTCCATCTTGATTTGAAAAAAAAATCGAAAGGTGAAACGCCCTAATATGGAGCCTCACACCTATACCACTATAGGGTAAGCGTTTCATAGTTGGTCACGGACGCCATATGTGCAAGGTATTGTTCAGGATTTTCGAGTTTCATGATGGATTACAGGTACTCACACCACAATGGATCTGGACCCATTTTTATAGATGATGTAACACAAGAAGGAAGGTTCTTTGACGAGATTAGCTCATCCATCTCACATTCTATTAATATGCACAAAACATAAAATGGTTTTCATTATCTCTTTATTTAAAATGTTATCATGGCCCCTAACCACTATATTCAACATGATTATTTGATTCTATAAGCAATCAACATTGTTCGCAATGTTACAGTTGGGTCTGATCTACACAAGTGTTATACTGTTTATTTCAAACGTTTGAAAATATTAATTGTAAGCAACCATAAGAAAGAGTATCCCTCATGTGGTCTCAACCATTGATTGTTTATTTCTCCTTGGCCACACGGCCATTTGTTAAAATTGTTTTATATTACATCTAGTAAATATGCCTGATAAGATTTGTAATATTTTCAAAAGATTTAGATGATATGAATTCATATTTATTCTTGTAATTGAATCTACAAATCAAGCAGTTTTGTAATTTGCATATTCCTCTTTAATTAATCTAGTCGCGCCTGATGTCAAAACATATAACCTAGCTAGTTTATATTTTAGCTCTCTGGTTCAACCGGTAGGAAAGTAACATTGAGGAAGTTTAGCTATATCTTTAACTTGTACGTGAACTTACAGAATTATGGTATTCTGGGATTCGTTCTCCCTTCGTATTTACTTGCCGATTGAGAATAAAAGTATGAGGAAAACAGTTCTAACTAGGTTCCTTGAAAAGCTACTTATAATGATGGGGGTAGTAATCTCAAGGGGTCATAATATTACACGTTTGCAAAAGACATTATCTCTTAACACCATTGCGAAGATTGAAAAAGGAACAAACTATTTCAAAAGTAAAAAAATCATATTGAATGTGCCATTTGAATGTTTTAGCATATATTAAAAAATACTGCAACCTAAGTGATGTCATCGTGATGTCATTTAGGTTGCAAACATTTTCATTGTCAGTCTTTTCTATGAATACACTTATATCAAACTTTCAAAATAATCCAATGTTATTTGTCTAACTAGGTTGGAAATAAGAATATAGTATGTTTTAAATATTACTTTTAGCACTGGTTTCTATGAGAACTAAAATTTTAAAATGCATTTTTCATTAACCAATTTTCTTACATTTTGATTACTTTGGCTAAGAAGACTATGATATAAGCCAAAGTGTTTCAAACTTTATTTTGGATTTATTATGATTTATTTACCAGTCCAATACATAGCGTATCTTAAATGTGTCGGATACATCTGTCGTCAGGCCAAATTTTGTGCAAAATACCATGGATAGCATTTCCATGTGTTTTACTATTAACGTTAACAGTAACATCCCAAACAAGTACATCGATATTTACTGCCCCTTATGATTTTATTTAAATACTAAAACTACTAGAACTAACATGCTTTATTGTTTGTAAGCCAGGTCCTTCATACACTTTGTTCTCTGTACTTTTTACTCTTTTAGAGAAAATTTGATGATGCTTTGATTCATCTTGAATCACTGAATGAATGGTTTGTTCATACCTGCCAACCTACCGTATTTTTACGGGAATCTACCGTAAAGTTTTCGTTTTTTCCGTAAAAATGACAAACTTATGACAAGTTTTAGTATAATACACGATTCTACAATATGTATTCCATGATTAGAGCCATCCGCATATGATATAGGTTCAGGTAGAATTTTTGATTTAACCAAACCGCTCATTAGAGAAGGCAAGCTGCGCGTATGATTATCAGGATTAGTTCTAGAACGAACTGATCGAGTGGCAGTCATAAAAACGTGTAGCTTAACCTCACTAAGAGGACACACAAATTAACTCATACACGCTAGTTAAACTGATGCTGAATCAGCTCGTAGTACAGTACATATGGGAGAAAACCCCACTTATCAAAGTACTAGGGCTCTATGCAGCTATGTACCAGTATATGAGGATGCATTTCATGATGGATCCCTTCATGGTGTCGTCATTCATATTCGATATGTATATATTGTTATGTTACGGTCTCGAATTGACCGTCTTTAACGATGACCTGACCCTCAGCCAATTCTCTATGGGTGGGTAATTGTACTGTCTGTTCGTCGGTGTCATTTGGCGTTGGCCAGCGTTTTGATATGGCATCTAAGTATATGTTTGGCAGGGTTAAAATGTCAATATTGTTCCGTAAATCTATCCAAAGGATACTAGGGAATTTAGCCTCATCTTTCAACATCTGAAAATAAAAAATAAAACAAGTGTTCAATTTGATCAAATGTGGAGAGTATATTATGGAAGAGTATGAGGCTGGATATAAATCCAATATATTGTCACAGTGGTCGATCAGGCTCATTTTCCTTTTCAACACGTGTATATATCTAAGAAACTACTACAATCAATAAACAATTACATAGACCAATATGACCAAATATTTTCTTGAAAATTTTCGATCATTTTGATTTGCACTTTTAGGAGCTATAGCTATACATTACACTTTATACGGGAGAATTTATCCTTGTTTCTTACGCATAATCATTATGAGGCACTTATTCCCGATAAATAAAACCTTAAATCAATTTATAAATCTTAATCCCATGTAATAGGAGTTCGAATAAAGGGGGCAATGGTAACACTGCAGGGGATCTAATGGCACTTTAGCTGGCCTATAACCTTTTTTATTTTAGTTTGGAGCCACACGATAAATTTACGATTCCTCTGCAGTCATCAATTCAATCCGTCAACAGAGCGTACAAACGTTGGGTAATCGTTGTCATTTCCGGATGCAAAAACGTCTCAGGAACACATACAGATCTTGATTTAAAATCATGGTGTAGAGAATAAGTCGTGAGTTGCTCCGCAGCAGATAAAGAAGCCCTAAAGGACCATTGATAAGAGCATGTTTTATGCCGATATAAAGATGTCAGTAGCGTCTGGTCATATCTTAACTATCTCGTTTGATTACACTGCCATCTTTTTACAAACATAATTTATATCAAAAGTAAGCCCGAGGAAAACAATGCCCAAATTATAGGAGAGTTGGCAATTATGAACCCACCTGGGTGAACATATCCACAGCTTGTTGCGTGAGTCTATTGCCCTTGAGATCCAGGAATGTAAGCTTCGGTAGGTTAGAAAGAGGATCGATGATCTGAGTTAGTCCGACATCTGAGAGCCCAGTGAACCCAAGCTCAATTGTCTCTAATCTGGAAACACACGAATTGAGGAAATTACTTAGAGTTTTAACAGAATTTTAACATGCAAGTAGATGATAAGAACGCTCACGCTCTGCCAACACAGGAATGAAACGGACAAATTGATGCAATTTTAGAGAGATTTCGCAACTCACTATAGCGTGCTTATTGTTCCCGCATGACGTTTGGTTACGTCATCATTTATTGCGCAGTGACTATGTACAAGAATATCACTTATGGACGTATAGAGCCGCGCAATAAATGATGACGTAATCAAACGCTTCATAAGTTATACTGGCCGAATAATAAACATACTATAAGTGAGTTGCGAATTCTTTCTATTGTGGATATTAACATTTATCGAAACAACTACTAGTATACCGTTATCAGCACCAGTTTGCCATTCATTGAATATTTCATCAAACATTTTCCCATTCGAAAACTAACATAACACTCGCACGGCATATTTCTCCCGATATTTCTTTCAGTTGAAATGGTCTAATTTGGACTAGAAATTCATTCATATCTGCAATCTGATGTTTTGAAATATGTGAATCCGTTGTCCTAACTTATGATTTGTTGAAAATCATGCAATGATAGGAAAGCAGTTTCTTGCCAAAATCAACATCAATTACACGATGTGTTAACATTTTCATTCTCGCACCGATGAGTTTAGAACATGGCTCCCAGAAAGATAAAACGCAATGCTCTTTGCTGGATAAAAGACTGCTTTATAAGAAAGGTCATTGAACAGTTTATTGATTGCCGCAATGACAGATTGGGTTGTTTGTTTTTGCGTGTCAGATATGTGTTCTTTTTCCCATTCGAAAACTAACATAACACTCGCACGGCATATTTCTCCCGATATTTCTTTCAGTTGAAATGGTCTAATTTGGACTAGAAATTCATTCATATCTGCAATCTGATGTTTTGAAATATGTGAATCCGTTGTCCTAACTTATGATTTGTTGAAAATCATGCAATGATAGGAAAGCAGTTTCTTGCCAAAATCAACATCAATTACACGATGTGTTAACATTTTCATTCTCGCACCGATGAGTTTAGAACATGGCTCCCAGAAAGATAAAACGCAATGCTCTTTGCTGGATAAAAGACTGCTTTATAAGAAAGGTCATTGAACAGTTTATTGATTGCCGCAATGACAGATTGGGTTGTTTGTTTTTGCGTGTCAGATATGTGTTCTTTTATCTCAGTCGCGCAGGGGTATGCTGACACATAACGTCAAATTTATTTCTGCAATCGACCAGACTTCTGACAGCTCTGAACCGAACCAGATTGTGTCAATGGTGCAGCTACTTACTATTTAGTAAAAATACCAGGTTTGAAGGTACAAATATACATAGTACATACTATAATTATATGTAAGGGAAATGGGGATCATACATACATTTCGATTCATCAAAGGCATCTTTTATTCTTGTAAATCGTAACATCTCTATTCATCGTATCATCAAATATGCTTTTAAAAAGTAGTTTTTGAGTGATATATACAGTACAAGCAGGAATCAGTTTATTGCTGTATTTAAACGATAGAATGATGTCTTGCACCCGTCTTGTTCAGTGGACTTTACTATCATATATCATAAAGATAATATTGAATGACGAGGATTTGGCCAAGGGATTTGTATTGTTCATTAGACTGTTGTTCGGTCCTAAAACTAACATACCTAAAATAGGATAGTTTCTAAATAGCAGAAAAATCAATGAAATCTCGTGCTGCCATCTTTTATTCAGCTTTTAACTCTGGCTAGAGCTCCATTCACTTACATGCTAAAATCTTGGAAAAGTGGCTTAATTTCATGATTTATCAAAGTGTGTTTGTTGAATCTGTATAAAACTTGAATGATATACCACATGATGACCCTGTTTATGAACATGTTGTGATTAAACATGCTAATGTTTTTTTATTTTTTTTTTTTTTTTTTTTTCCTTTTTTTTTTTTTTTTTTTTTTTTTTTTTTTTTTTTTTTTTTATTTCAAAGAATAAGCATGTTAAAGCAATTGCAAAAAACAATTACCGTACAGTTACATGTAATCCTACATTTAACAATTTTACAATACAGTACAGTGGTTAAATATCTTAAGAGACGTTATACCATTGGCATTTTTTTTTTATTTATTTAAAGGAAAAAATCATCAGTTTCATTTGTTTAATTTTGTTTCCATGATTTTCCACTTATCGCCTCTGCCAACCCGTTTGTCCATAATAAAATATTCCTTCACATTACTTATAAAACCTTTAAGTGTTGGTTTTAGCATAGAATATTTGCACAGATAAACATACCTTTTAAAAATACATAGCATATTATTTAAGATGATTGTCTTCTCATTTATACTCTCAGGTCCTATCAATACATTTTGTTTAGTGCATAGCAATGTGAGCTCTAAAGGAAGCCATTGTTTAATGTCATTTAATACGGCACTTACAATAGAACATTCATACAGAAGATGGCAAATCGTTTCAGGATTTGCTTTACAAAAAGTGCAAATGTTTGACTCTACGAGTCCACACATTTTTAGGTATTTATTAGTTGCTAAAAATCTGTGAAGGACTTTATAAGTGAAGGATGATAACTTAGGTTCATAGTTACTCAGTTTGTTAAGTTTATTTATCTTCTTCCAATCATTTTGATTGAGTGACAAATTCAGATCTTTATTCCATCCTTCTATATATTTTGAATTCTTTTCTAAATTCTGAACAAATTCCCAGTATATTATTTTACTAATCTTTGACTGAGTAAGGAACTTTTGTACGTGTGCTTTATTTCTTTCATAATCAGTGGTATTCTGATTATTCTCCATGACGTCTCTTAGCCAAGATTTTGGAATAGTGTTTTTTAGACTCAAATAGTCTAAAAAATTAATATTACTGTGGAATTTGTCATTGAATTCTAAAAGCGTTAGAAGTCTTTTTGAATTATGAAATACCTCCTGTAGTACAATTACTTCATTGTTAACCTTTGTATTTTGCAGTATATATTGAACATTTTGATTTTTGGTATGTTTCCCCCATGTATTACACATAGCTTGTTCAGCTCTCAGTTTAGTATTATGTTCAGCTTCTTTTTCTTTCTGTTGTGTGTAAATTCTCAGAACATGTACAAAATCTCTCCAGAAATTATTCGAAATTTTTTCCTCAATTTTTTGAATTGATTTTGAATCATACATAAAAAGCTCGTTTCTTGATCTTACATTGATGATTTTTAAAGCAGTTTCTTGCCAAGAGCCATCTCTAAGAAGTTTTTGCATCCATGTAAGTTTGAGGGATTGTTCAAAGAGCGTTGGTTCAATCATTCTCAAACCTCCATCTTCAACATTTTGAACTAATTGTGAGAAGCTTACTTTTGCTACTGTGGAATTCCATATAAAAGAAGTAAACAGTTGTTTTATTCTTTTATGATTCGCACATGACAATTTGGGTAACACTAGAAATAAATGTACTACTTTAGGCAAAACAAATGATTTAAGAACCGTTATTTTTCCTAGTATTGATAAGTTTCTTTTTCTATATCTACTTATTACAGTTTGCATTTCCAGAATTTTATTTTCAAAATTAATGGATTCAATATTTTGAAGATCTGATGTTAAATTCAACCCGAGTAACCTAAACTTAGATTCCCATGTGAGTGGAATGTCTTCACACATTTTTTCTGAGTTTTGTTTACTTCCTAACCATATTGCTGATGTTTTTTCTTTATTAAGTTTTAACCCTGATGTTTCATGAAACTTGTCAAAAATGTACATACAATGTCTCAGGGAAGACGGAGTTCCATCTAGGAAGATAAACGTATCATCTGCATACATGCCAACCTTTATCTCTTTATCGAATATTTTGACCCCTTTAACTTCTACATCTTTTTTAATTTTTGAACATAAAGGCTCTAGAGCTAAGATGAATGCGTAGCAAGAGAGCGAATCTCCCTGCCTGCAACCTCTCTTTAATTTGAAAAAACTTGAAAAGAAACCGTTGTTTATTACGCAACTTTCGCTTCCATTGTATAAAATCTTAAACCATTTCAAGAAGCTATCTCCAAAATTGAATTTTTTTAGACATTTTTCCAAGTATACCCATTCGATACTGTCGAAGGCTTTCTCAAAATCTGCTAAAAGTAAAAGACCCTTTTGCTCGTTTCTATTAAGATAGTCCATAACGTCATACACAAGTCTTGTATTTTCAGCCATCTCTCGACCCGTTAAATATGCTTTCTGTTCCACGGAAATTATATATGGCAAAACTGATTTCATCCTTGTTGCTAAAGCTGATGAGAGAAGTTTATAGTCCGCATTCAATAAAGATATCGGTCGCCAGTTCTTAAAGTATTTTCTAATTTTGTTTAATTTTGGTAAACAAGTAATAACGCCTTGCTTCTGTGTGATTGATAGTTCACCTAAAGTATAAGCCGCGTTTAGAGATTTGAGTAGGTACTTACCAATATCCCTATAGAAGAATTTATAAAAGTCTACAGAAAAGCCGTCTGATCCAGGGGATTTACCATTTTTTGCATTTTTTAATTCAAAGATTAATTCTTTTTCCGTTAAAATACCCTCACAAGACTGTTTTTGTTCTTCGTTTAGTGATTTGATATTATTATCATTAAGGAAAAAGTCTATATTTTCATCAGCACAATTTACTTTGCTGCTGTAAAGGAGTTCATAAAATTTTTTCTGTTCCAGAAGTATTTTTTTTGGATCAGTAATAAGTTCTCCATCTACCTCTACTTGGCATATAAGTTTATTTAGAAAATTTCGCTTTTCGAGACTACTAAAATATTTCGTAGCTCTTTCTCCTGATTCGTACCACTCGACTCGGGCCCTTGTCATAAGACCTTTTACATAAATATCTCTATATTCTTTAATTTCTTGTTTGACGCTATCCAAATTTTCATATCTTTTTTCTAAAATGATTCTCTGATCGTCATCCTGAGCATCGCCTGAATTAATAATATTTTCTATTTCCCTTTCTATAACCAAGACCTTATTTTCAAGATCACG